GCGCAATTGTAACGCACATTGGATTCGCAGTGTGGGCGCAATTGCCGTGCAATTAAAGCGCTATCAAAAAATTTCGATTTTCATACCTTTGATCACCTGTATCTGAACTGTATGAATTCTGACGTATCCCTTGCGCGATTCCCATTTCGGAAGTTCTGTAACTAAGCTTTCTTCGGTAAAATTAGGTACCTGATTCTCGTGGAACACATTTTTTCCACTCACTGTGACCGAATGCACTCTCTGTGACGTAATTCCGCGTATTTTGCTGATTGGGAGCGCAGTTGTCCTCAAACAGTGCTCGCCCATTTTTGACGGTATCAAAACATGGAGTTGTCATACCTTTAACTACCTATGTCTCAGCCATTTGAACGTTATATGCTCCAGACGATTCCTCTTTTTGAAAGCTCTGTACTAAACGTGTTCCACTAAAACTTACTACATTCTTTCTAATGGGACACTCAGATGACGTATTTTTTCGTTCACTGGAGCGCAGTCGTAACACAATGCGATTGCTGCCGCATTGCACGCAGAGACTCAATTGCATTCGCAGTGCGGCTAAAAGTCGAAAAGCTGAATCGACCTTTCGACTTTTACATTACTCTATATGTGTCTTTTGGCAAGTGGATCTTGGATCAAATCACATAATATACCGTTCGGTTAAATTTTTCTCTAATTTTAGAAGTCACTCAACGACTGCACCCATCGATGACCCTCAATTGGTGATCATTGGCCGTCGAAATTGTAAATTGATGCTGAGTGTTAATTACTAAGAACTTGCCCAACAATAGGCAACACCACAGAATTTTTGTCCTTGTTATATACTTTCACATCAAAAGAAAAATATTTTCATTTGCTTATTTTCAAAGAAATCGTTTGATTCTGCGCATATATTTTGGATACGATGAAGTTTGCGGAACATTTATGGAAACATTTAACGCCTGAATGGTATTCCCAATATATTGCATATGATGCCATGAAAGAAATACTTTACACATGGGTTGCCGAAGCACCACCGCTTCCCGACATGAATGACGCCTTAAAGCGTGAAGAATTTTTTCTGCAGGCGGACGAACACTTTTTACGAGTAAGAATTTTGATGTTCAGCTTAAATTTATTAATTCTTGTTCTTCTTTGTAGTACTGCGAGAAAGAAGCATCAAAGATCAATACTTTCTTTGCGGAAAAGCTTGCTGAGTAAGTATGTTTAAATATTAATCTCCATTTGTGAAATCTTGAAATAGCAGGTCTTCATCTTGAGATATATAAATAATCTTACAAAAACATTTTGCAATGCATTTCTTTTTGAATAATCCAGTTTTGAATTGAGCTTTGTTCGTTACATTACTTCGAAAATAGTAACAAAAAAGTAACATGGATTCAGAAATAAAACGTGGACAGAAAATAAAGTATTGAATACCTCTTCTAAAAGGTAGCCAATTTCGGGTTTGTGTCCATTCCTATTGTCTTAGAAATGACTTCTAAATGAAGCTGAATGCTTCATGGTCTCATTCTTATATTTAGTAAACAGTTTTTCTTTAGAAATTGCAAACGTGCACAAAAAAGATCATGGCAGAAATAGTTATAGACTATTAATTTCAGTTTTATACCTTAACTCACTTTATTTTTATCATCTGCCAAGATGCTAAATGAATGTTCGGACATTATTTGCATTTGCCATTATAATTCAAAGTTTGTCTTCTCAACTTAACTTAGAGACTTATCTCCATCAGGTTTTGGTCCCGCATCTCTTTTTCAGCAGTCAACATAAAAAACACTGTACTGGTATTGAATTACTTCGAGTCGAAAGTAACTAGCGAATGACTCTAGTGAACAATATAAAAAGTCTGTTTCAAATAGATCGATAAAAGCCTTCAAAAAAAGCTTAATTTAGAAAGGCAAATGTTTTCAGACGGCTGTCGCGACGATTTTCGGGTAATTTGTACTCATTAACTATTCTCTGTCTGACTACGTAAACTGTACTTTTTTAGGCGAGTGTCACATTCACATGTTGATTCAGTGACTTCAGATTAGTTTGAAGTAAACACCGCTACTCGACTCAGCATTACTCTGATCCATCTTGGAATAATCAGAATCCATATGACTGCTCTCGAAAAAAAAGCTCTATAACTTCCGAAAGAAGGTAGATTTGAAAAAGTATGATCTTGGTAGTCACGCCGAACAGCAACTCTCATAATTGCATAACGAATTTCGTTATGACAATTTGAAAGTATGGAGCAGTTGTCCAGTCTTCATGCCCTCTTTCTAGAGCGTTGAGACGGCTTGAGCCTCTAAAAAATGAGCTTGTTCTCATCGACCAAACCCATGGGAATCGCCATCGCCAAATCACCTTATCCGGGATGTTTCCCGACGTCGACCTAGAGGCAAATATTGGCAAAGTGGCCGGCTACAATAGAATGACAACGACCAGTCCACAGCATCGAAACGGTTTGAAAGCAAGGTTGACCGGTCTTCCTTCTAAACGATTGGACGAGCAAAATTCCCATAGACAAATGCAAAAGACACGGCACCGAACGATAAATGATTTGAAATTGGCTTTCAGTGAATTGTATTTGATGCTTATCCTCTTGAAAACTTATCAAACACTCAACTTTACGGGATTTCAAAAAATATTAAAAAAACACGACAAACTATTTCAAACGACTCGCGGCGATGAATGGCGGTAGGTTAATTCTATCTTGTGTGTGTGTTCACCGTTGAACAATTGCAGCCTTTAAAAACAGAAAATTACACATCGATTCGGCAGCATTTTACACGTCAAGACGCGTCGACCAATTGATCGTCGAAATCGAAGCAATGTATACCAATGGACTTGAATCTGGCGATCGGACACGAGCAATGCAACGTCTACGTGTTCCACCGCTCGAAGAAAATCAACCACGCCTAGTGACATTTCGTGTCGGACTGTACGTTGGTAAGATATCTTTTTCCCTTCGCTAAAAGGAAAGCTCTCCAGAACGGTAAATGGTTTTTCTTTTTTTCTTTTTCGTTTTTGCCACCGGCTTAAAATTCGGGCATGTGAATTTGTTCGAATTTTCGAGTTTTTTCTTCTTCTTGACAGTATAAGCAGGTCCTCTGGCGTGTACTTGTAATTCCGCTACTGATGCTTTCTGAAAATGTTCAGTTTAACTGAACCTGAACATTTCGTAATACGTATTCAGTCGGATCGTCATACCTTTTCTAGATTCTAAGCGTTAAGATTTTCTAGATGAATAGTTCGGAGTCTATGCTCGATTCCGTTATTCTTTTATTTGCGTCGCGTGATGCGCGTCGATGAACAGCTAAACCATGTCGTCTATTTCAGAGTTTGATAACGATCCTGTGTTAGTGCTTAAGCTGAACACTAATGTGTACATATTGGGTGCTGCGGTCATATGTTCTAGTCCATAAGAAGCTTTAGGCAATATTTTTTCTCAGGAATATTATCATCGGTTAAAAAAGCAAGGGTATTCAAAAAAGGTGAAACAGATTTGTCTTCTTCTTGCTTTCTTTTTTTCCGATTCCGTTTACTATCCTGTATCCTTTACCTCCGTTAGTTATTTTTCACTACTCTTATTTACTTCGAACATCAGCGGGATCAGTGGCTTTCTAATTGTGAATAGCTTTGTTTCGGCGATAAATCCGGTTAGTAGCTTACCGTTTGACTATTTATCATCAAAAGAGTTACCGTTACACGTGAATTAGATCTTTGTTTGCTTCCTCCTTTGGCTCGAAGAAAGAGGCTTACGGAAAGTAGAATCTCGATTCTGTTCTGTGCCTACAAGAGTGGCGTAAGGATTACTGAGTGAAGAGTGAATGTTAACAAAAGCAGAGATAAAAGCTAAACTAAATGGCGCTACAAAAAGATAGCGAACATAGGAGACGAAGACCGAGCAAGCGAGGCGGTGAGAGATATAGAACAGCTCTTCATTTCATTTCTTTCTAGAGTTGAGGTTTACTTGCAGATAGAGTTGAAGTTGCTTAAAATTTTTTGAATAAGCAGATAAGCAAAAGAGACCCTTTGTTTTCTTCGTCTCTTTCTTCTTTATTTTAACCATCAAAAAGTGTATAGTTACAAAGTTTGAAAAACGAAACTAGAGCACTAGCACACGATGAGAGTCGACGACCCACAGATGTATTGAAAGAAGGATTAATCTCTTTACAAAAAACATGGTTTAACTCAAAAACTTAAAATAACAAGTACAGAGTTGTGTGGCTGAAAACATGCACCTTTCCACGTTATTGCGATATCTTGCTCCTTTGAAGAAACTCTGTATCCACGTAATTGACTTCTTCAGATTTAGAATTTTCAAGGAAAAAATCACTCAATGTCAATTTTAATGACACAAATGCGATTATGTAATCTGTGAATCTTTCTTACTCAAATAACTGGTACACCAGATGACACAGAATAATACCACATAGTAAAGCTTTCTCGTATCCTCCATGCAGCTAAGAGCACATACATTTTGACAGAAGAAGGACTGAAAACAAGAGTGAGTTGGCTTGACATCATAATTCTTAAACACTCTCATTGCTATTAACAAGCTTTTTTCTTTTAAACTACAGTTAACCAAATATCTAATTCAAGAAAGGCAATTATAACTACAATATTGTCAACACTTTATGACAAACCCTTCCACTACCAAGTAAACCCTGTCTTGAAGATCGTGTAGCCGTGTCTCCCACCATATCTCACACGATCGATAGCTACGCTTTTCAAGTGAAGGGTTCTGTGAATGATGCATTCACTATACTTTTCAATGACTAATATTACATATATACCAACGTTTTACTTTTCGAGGAATGCTCTGTATATTAATTCCGTTGGTGATCCTTCTCGGCGGCACTTTCAATATCAGTCAGTCAGGGAAATCACTTGCCTGGCGTCCAGCACTTCATCTTTATCGTCCTGCATTCCTCATTATTCTTCACATTATTCTTTTTGGCATCAATGTTTACGGTTGGTCACATAATGGCGTCAATCATGTCCTCATATTCGAAATGGATCCACGCAACCATTTAGCATACCAAAAATTTCTCGAAATTGGTACATTACTTATGGTTCTGTGGTTTCTCAGTTTTTCGGCATTCATTCTCGCATCGTATTATGACGCTCAACCATTCGTACAGCCTCTCATTTTTGTCATATTTCTGATTCTTTTTCTCATCAATCCAATTCGAATATTCTGGTATAATGCTCGTATATGGTTTTTAAAAAAATTGGGCCAAGTCTTTTTGGCACCATTCTATCATGTTGACTTTGTCGGCTTCTGGCTCGGTGATCAGCTCACATCGCTTGAGTTGATCTTTTTCGATATTGAATTTTTCATCTGTTTCTATATTTATGATGCCAATTGGGGCTCAACGAATAAACCGAGCGGTGCCTTCTGTAGTGGTTGGTCACAATATTTCTTACAAACATTTTTTATTCTCCTACCATCCTGGTTTCGTTTTGCACAATGTCTACGGCGATACCGTGATACTAAACACAAATTTCCCCATCTTGCAAATGCCGGCAAATATGCAAGTGGTTTCTTCACAGCTATAACCAATACGATTCGACGCGCTACCAATCTTCATTATAATAACAATAAAATAGTAAATCCGTACCTTTACCTATGGTTTGTGACGTCGTTCATCGGTGCAACATACAAATTCATCTGGGATCTCAAAATGGACTGGGGTTTTTTCGATAAGAATGCTGGTGAAAATAAATATCTACGTGAACAAATCGTCTATCCATCGAAGATCTACTATTATGCAGCCATTATTGAAGATTTTATTTTGCGATACATTTGGGTCATTAATGTATTTATTTATTTTCGCACACCATCTGCCGAATATGCCGATATCATCGGATTTGCTTTTGGTATCGTTGAAGTAATTCGACGATTTATTTGGAATTTTTTCCGTTTGGAAAATGAACATTTAAATAATTGCGGCGAATTTCGTGCTGTTCGTGATATTTCAATACGTGCTACACCAACTGATAATAATTATTTGCCATTGGAAGAGATGAATTTTCAAGGTCAAAGTGCGCGTATTTCGAAACAACGCCGTTTGACTTCAGCTCAAGAGAGAACGGCGACGTCGACAGTTGAGACAGAAATGACGGTAGTGAATGAAACGAGCGAAAATGGCACAGTACTTCGCAATAGCTCGATGTCAACACTGGCCACAACGGAACAAATTGCCGATGAGATCAATGCTATGTTACCGATCGACCCATTCGTGGACACCAAATTGCTCTTGCCTCTCGACGAATCGTCAATCTAATACATTGATAGTTGACAATGCATATTGTTCCATGAACTGCCTAATTCGTATTCGAATAGAAGTGTGAAAGTTAACTTCTACATGAAAGACACCACAAAGAACAAATGATGCTACTGTAAACAAATTAAAATAAAAGGTTTTTTGCTTACTTTTCTAATTAATTCAAAATAAAAATAAAAATAAAAATAAAATTCAAAATATAAAAGACATTAACATAATGATCGTTGAAGGAATAGTAGTTAACAAAAATTCTCTTATTCCATCAGGTCTATCTAGTCTTGCTCAGATTGAATCCATAGGTGTTACGCCAAATGGTACTAATCAGTTTCAATCAGAGATAAATCGAAACGGTATTCTATGCATCGATGGCATGGCTATGAAAGAGAAGTATCGTCAAATAGAAAAAACTGTAAACGTTGGTATATATGAGTCCACATTCGACTGCCATACAAATGATGATTCGTGAATGCGAGTGTTCAAGTTACTCATCAAATCTAATGGATCGATCATGCAGAACAATTTGAAAACGTAATAAAAATAGCGTCACAACAACGAAATCTGTCAAATTTTTCTCAATTGAAAATTAATTACCGTAAATTTTGTATGAATATTCGATTTTTTCTGGATCGTGCTATTTCAATTTATTCTGAATTTTCTTTATTGTCTGTTGAGAAAGACGTTCAAGATGTATACATTTTAGCTGGTCGATGTTACTATTACCAACTGCCACAAGTGCTTTTAGTCAGATCACTGGCATTACTCGACTTTTACGATAAACATGAACATATTGCAAATACAAGATCGTCAATAGATAATACTAAATAGATTGAAAAAGGGATGCCAACAGATTCCGATTTTGTACCAGCGTTGCAGTTAAAATTTTGGCCAGTAAATCTCAACGATTTACAAGAAACATCACTAAGTCTTGCTCAAAAATGGATTAAATATGTCGTAGATATAGTGAATTCTGGTAAATGTACGCACTATTTTATTGATGAATTCAATATTTTTGAACCATATACGCCTGAAAATTTGGAAAAAGCTAAACAAATTCTTCTCAATGAAGTAAAACTCGATGAAATAATCGAAACACACATGTATACGGCTCAAAATCAACAACTATTGTTTGATACATTCAAATTAAATAAACAAAATTATATATATGATCTGAAAGTAAAAGACATTTTATCTCTCATCAACGATTATCGTACACTGAAAGAAGATTGTATTGGTCTATTCACGGAGATTAAAAATCAGGATAAAGAGTTAAGCGAAGCACTTGATATCTTATCTGTCTTAAGACGGTTTGATGCGAAAAAAATGGAAGATTGGAAAACGTTTCGAGAATTATTTTTAGATCACAATGACTCTTCCGAATATGCTGAACCTATTTGGAACGACAATGTTGTACAAAACGAAGATCCCATAGTTTTTTGTTCAATGTTGAGCATGATCGGTACAGTCTTACATTTGATACAACAGAATATCGATGATTCACCAGATTTTCTTACACAAAATGTCCAGAAAGATGATGTTGATGTTAAAAAGTATTAAAATGTCTTTCAGCCGATACCATGGTTTATGCAACCAGATCAATTACACTCGATCCATCAATATCATCATTTAGACGTCGAAGCGTACTCTGTGAACATCCAAACGGCCCTGGAAGGCCTGTTGAACAGGACAATTGCATGCCAGCACATTTTAACATCAAAAATGTATGTCAAATCGCACCCGATAAAAACATGAGACTTAATGAAGTAGCAAGTTATTATAAAGGTTATGCTGATGAAGAACTCTTCGAACTTGCACGGACTGTTGAATTATCTATGAAGGACTATTAGACAATTTGCTTTCTCAACACATTGATATAAACTTTCTGAAAACTATACCGTCGGATAGAGAATCAAATCCTCTACCAAAGAGCTCATTTGTTTTAATTTAGGTGCCAAATTTCTTTTTTATTATCTAAAAAACGTTTTGGCGCTTTTTCTGAGCAATTTTATGTCCATTTAATCTAATTTTGAAAATTTATTTTTGGCTGCATGGGATGAAGGGCACCTCAAACTATCTATCTATGTACAATCAAAGCTTGTTAAATAGTCCTGTGACAGAAAAAATATATGCCAAACCGTCTGCCAAGAAGAGCAAAAAACGGTGAAATTCCATAACGGTCACTTTTATTCGATTTCCTCTGCCAGGGAACTAATTCAAGAAAACGTCAGTAGCGATTCTGATAGCCCAAACTATGAGCTTTAATTTGGTAATGAAGCAGTCATTTTAAAATTAATTTAAGGCTTACATTTTACTGACATAAGCCGAAAAACACTTTGTAACGGCCTCTATTTTGACTATCAGTTTTGATCCGCTTGTTCAATCAAGCTCAAATAATTTATGGTAGTAGAACGCCCTAAAAATATCCATCATTGGTATAAATTTCATTGATAAACGTTGCTTCTTGCCGAGATAAGGGGCACAGAAGACGAAAAAATGAAATTCTGTAACATCTGGCCAAGCCGTGTGAACATATTGAACCTCATACTGACCACCACAGTTACCAGTGACAGCTCTGCGACAAGTGGTGTCCAAATTAAAAGGAATCAGTAGCAAATATCTGCCCCGTCTCAAGTTCGTGACTAGCCTTAACCATGAGCGTTACTATGATCGTTCATTACCAGAGAAAAGTTTTCCTTACCGTGAGGAAAGAAATTTTTCATGTCGTGATCGTGACCAAAAAAGCTGGTCACATCGATCTCTACGTATAGCATCTAAATCGTTGTTTCTCTTTTTAGGTTGACACCTCAAAATTCAAATATGTCCACTCTTTTGGATACGAACCGGTATGGAATAAATTCTTGTGTATATTGTAATGAAAACTGTTCTCATTTCAAGCAAAAGATATTCACAAAATTCAAAAAAATTGCGCAGTAAAAGATGATGATTAGTTGTGAACAACGATCATTAATTGTAAAAATAAAAATATTTAAATTAAAAAACGTATGGAATAAAACAACAATCTTGAATAAAATAAATATCGTATACATATCGCTTAATCGTGCTGTTGTTGTAATTTTCTTTTTTCTTTTAACAGAATAATATCTTCTTCTGTTCGAACAATATCCAAATGTTCTTTTGGTAAAAATTGTTTATACATAATTAATGCTCTTTCATAATATTCAAGTACAATATTTAAATTATTCATTTTTTCATATACATCAGCTGTATTATTTAGACTAAAAGCAAGACTTGGATGACCTAATGGAAAAAGTTTTTCAGTTATATTCAATGATTTCAATTGATATTCTAAGGCTCTTCCATATTCACCTTGCACAGTAGGCATTTAGGTGGCATTTTGGTGAAAAATCGCAGGTTCGAATTTTTATATTTTGAATGATGACATATATACTATAAATAATGCCTTATTTAACGGTGAAAAGTTTTTGACTCTAGCTTCTTCCAAAGTTGAGAAAATTAAATTACAAAATTATCAGTAGAATTAGCATGCTGGCGCGTAAAATTGCATTTTCTCCATCAGACTGTAAGTTTTTTTCAAAAACAATGGCATATATAGAATCGCCATGTGTTGGGCTATCTAGCCATAAGAAAATTTTTCGTCGGACAAAGTTAAATTTCGGGGAACGCGCGAAGATCTTTCCACGGAACTCATCTAAAAAAAAGACGTCCTCATAAAAATGCAATCGCTAAACTGCGCTGAGCAGCTATTGATATGAAAAATAGCTCAAAATGTTCGTCTCAACCTCCTCTACATATGCTCATTTCACAAAGTCTCCCAACTCTAGGGGTGCTGAGTTACAAGCTTTCCAAAAATCCTGGGGATTTTCGAGTATTTCGTCGTTTTCTCCCTCAAAAAAGCATTTTTTGTTGAAAGTAAGGTCATATTCGGAATCAGCGTGAAAAACTGTATCGAATGGTATATAACTTATCTAGTTTCGGTCGATCAATTTTGAATTCTAAAATTTCTTAGTCTTTGAGATTCACACAAACAATTTCGTGCTGAAAATTTGAATTTCAAGATAAAGGAACCTGAACGGCCCGAAACATGTTTCTTACAGGTTTTCGACAATCCCCTTTCCAGTAGCATCGTTTTTGAATATTGAGAAAGTCTTCTGAAGGGTTTTCTAGAGATCGGATCTCTGGAAAACTCCTTAGAAAACGTTTTTAAAACCCAACTCTCATGCCATTAGAAAGAGGATCATGAAAAACCTATAAAAAATGGTTCAGGAAATTTTAGTTCGCTCATAACGCTAAAGTTCGCCTGCTCTAGCAAAAGATGCCCACTGTGCCTTGATCATTTAGTATATTAGCTATTGCGGTATGGGTTAATGATCGTCGTTCGCTGTCAGATAAATAATATTGTTCTTCAATTTTTAAGGCTTTGTCTATGTATTCTAATGCCGTATTATATTCACCTTTTGCCTGATAAACAAGAGCTATATTATGATAACTAGCATACCATTCCTTATGATTATTTGGAAAACATTTTTAGTCTAGTATTAATTATCATTTTGTAAGTACGTTGATAATCTTTGGGTGCATCA